AAAAAAAATCATTCAAAATATTTAATAAGATCTACTTAACGTTTCATTAATAAAAAATATAATGTAGTAAAAAATTGATTATTATCTATTTCGATTTCAAGCTATTAATAAGCTGTACACTTATTTTCTTTTTTAATATGTTTTTAGTATTTTTTATATTGATCTATTTATTTATTTTATTTCAATGTCACGATAACAGTTCCTTAGGACGAACTATGTCTTTTGATAGCCAGAAAAGACTCAACAAGTTGGCGACAATACATATTATATACAATACGACTTGCCAAAACTATTTTCAGTGCTGACCCCGTATAATTGGGTCCAAACAACTTAAAAATGTGAACAACAACATTACTGAGTATAAATCACTTTCTATTAAGTGCAAAAAAACAAAAATTATTGTTTGATATTCTTTATTCAGTCAAAAATTATTATATAATTTGAATAAAATGTATAATAAATACCCACAATACGTTTGAACTCAGTTTGAAGATAATTAAACGATTAAAGCATTTTATTTGGAACACATTTTTGAACAGTTAAATAAACAAATATCAGTAAACACTCATTATTTCTTTTGAATTAACTCTTTAAACATTGTTTTTTTGGAAAAAGGAATAGGTACCTACTTACAATTCTAATATTTCATATTGTCCTTATTATTTTCACCCATACGTTTATTGAATAAACCACTATCAAAATTTGGTTATTGAACCAGTAAAGTGGTACAAAATTAAATGTTAAAATGTTAAGAATCTTACGTTTCGTAAAAATAAAATTCCTTTGACGCAAAGTTTATACTTTTTAAACTGATGATTGATCTATAACTATCAAAAACACCCACTTATAATAAAAAACTAACTTATATTTTAAAACCTAAATTTGAATTAGGATAATCTTCTAACAGGTAAATAATAATACTATTACATTATTTTTTTTCATATTATACAGGCTGATTTGGCGAGCACGCCCCCATGTTTTTCAGTAATAACGTTTTTAAATTCTGATATTTTGATATATTCTTTAAACTATACTTACAATAATATTTTTAATTATTTAGATTTGTATACAATTTAAGAATTGTTCTAGGGCGATACATACTTGTTTTTTTAAAGGAGAACTAATCTTTTTTTACTGTAAATTGTTAAGCAAATTATTTTTTTGAAAATGTTGATGCACTTATATATCAAAATTTAAACCCGTTATTGAAGTAATAATATCTGAATTAAAAGTGTAGGTATATACTAAAGTTAATAGTCATTGAAATGTGTATTGCAAAAATGTAAAATATGTCATTTTATATCAAATTCTGGATCTAGTACCTACTCATTATACTAGAATAATGATTAAGAATTATAAAATATTCATCTATCAATATCAATACATTTCTAAAATTATTATAACCCCCATATAAACTAAAATTACTATAAAGCAGAGATTCCCAAGCTATGGGTTGCAATCATATGTTTGGTCTTTGGTGGGTCGAAGAAAGTTTTAAAATATACATTTGTTTTTCATGATATAACATATTTAGTATTAGATTACAATAAAATATAATATACATAAAAAAGAAAATATATTGTTGTTTGTTCGCAAATATATTATTATTATTATTATATATTTTGGTTGTTTAAAACGAGTAAATTAAACAGTATGTTTCGTATAACTATATTGTACATTTATTAGGTACTTTGATATAAATGCAGTTTAGCAAAATCCAATATCTGATTACTGAATTATTTGAGTGTACGAGTGAGCACTATAACGCTGCCGTACTAGAAATTATCTCAAATATAGCGATCATAAATTAAACAACAAAAAAAAAATCATTATATATGAGTATGCTGCGTAGGTCGGCTAAATTTAAAAATTTTCCAAAACGTTCGCATCATAAAAAGTTTGGGAACTTCTGCTATAAAGCATCTCGTATTGCCATCTTGATCATGTCATCTAACCATTTAACTGTAATTTTTTATTTTGTTAATTATACATTTTTATATTTTCAAGTTTTTATTTTGCCTGGCAAATGTATATTCTAATCTTATTTATAGTCAAACTTTTAATCCCAAAATAAATACAATCAAAATTATTTAAATACTTCCTATACAGTATACAGTATAATATATACTATGCTTATCAGCTTATTATTTTAATGCATATTCTTTCATTTAATATGTGATACATTTCTAAATATATAGATGATTAGCTCCTATATAGTGCACCATAAAATGCTGAAATACGTTCTACCACCTTTTGATCGAATTATTGATTTGAGGTTGATTTTCAAGTACCAAATCATAAGAGTTCCAAGAACTAAAATCAAACTGCAACCAACGTCTTCGATTAAGCCAATCCATGTATCTTCAAATTAATCAACAATTAGAGCCAAAAGATTTTAATTTCCAAAAAAATATATAGATTCGATCAGTTTTTCAAATGTGTTTATAACGTTTGTAGTTGGAATATAACTAAACCATTAACAACGAATTGATGAGAAAATTATGTATCTGCAATGCATGATTGTTATAATCACTAATCTACTATTTTGTATTTCCCGGTTAAACATAGCAAAAAATGGAAAAAGTTTTCTTTAATTTCGATTTATGGAAATTCTTCTTTCGATAGATATGCATTTTTCAAATCTTTCATAATACGTTTTGATGTTATCGATGAATTAAAGATTTTAATACTCTTATTATTTAAATATTTAGGTACATCTTTAGTACAATTATACGTAGGTAGATATAAACAAACAACCTAACCATTAATATATATACAAATGGATAATATTTACATCTTTTGTTTACAGGTTTATAACTATGAGCTAAATCATCTTAGGTTCAATTAGTTATTTAAGTGGTATGTCAATTTCAGCATAATTATTGTTTTAATTTATGAATCAACTATAAATTTAAAATTTAAATACCGCATCTCACCCTACACATATTCACATTAAGTATACGTATACTACCTGCAGTCGAATAGCATACGGTACGTCGGTACTCCACAATCTCTTCAAATTGTTCTTGATTAAATTTCTTAAAAACAACCGTATTATCTACATTCTACACTCGCAAGGCCACGTGCGCGTGGGTTTAAAAAACCAAACAAATTACCAACAGTTAATCTGTGTTTGAAGTGTGTAAAGCATTTGTAATTTATACTTATTAATTATTATAGTTTATAACTTTACACAAATATTTACATTAGATGCTATTAATAATATTATTATTAAAATATTAATCTAAAATAAACAAAAAGTAGGTAATGCCTATGCTTTATGACTATAATTTAAAATGAAGTATAATATGTAATATGTTTGTTGTTCCCTTTTTATTTGTTCAATAACTACCCCCGGTATCCATAGTTACATAGTTAATTTGCTATATTCTTTATCTTATGTTATTTGGTTACACAATAAGGTTTTTTGTTTTAACATCGTGTTCAATACAATATGTGTTACAATATGTTATAGTTTAAGATGTTCTCATTAAAACACAGTTCTAAAATAAAGTCTATTAAAATAAAAGAAACACTAACTACATTTTTGAAAATGATTGCGATACGGGCATAACATTAAATTAAGAAAAAAACACGAAGGAAGATGAACGAGATAAGAAATACTGTAAAATATAAGTAAGGGTTTTATTTTGTTTCAATTTTAATTCGTAATTTTTAATTTATAAAAATGATTAAAACCATTAATGAAACTTTTAGAGGTGTTTTAAGGTAGTTAGGTAGTTAAGAAAGAACCAAAAATAGACTTTTAATCCTTAGTTATACGATTACCGTGATTGGTATTTGGTGGCCACCACATTAGTGTGTATAATAATATATTAATTAGTTAGTTTATTTTAAGTTTATATATACATATATACTCTTTAGTCATTAAAGTATTATATGGTGAAGTGCATACTTGAGCGCTTCAAACTCTTGAGAACTTAAAAAAAAAATTTACAGTTTTAAAATGACTTAAATAAAAATAAAAAGCTGAAAACAAATATTACAAACAAATATGTAGGTAATCATATTATGATGCGTGTAATTGTTTATTATGTTTAATTGTATTGCCTACATACTAGGTACCCACCTAGTACCTACTTAGATTCTGATTAATAAAAATAACTTTTAATTTTCATTAATAACAAACCCATTGAGTATACCTATCTAATGACTTTTCAATGGACAATATAACAAGTAGAATATATTATACTGAAGCAATATTTTACATTTCATTGAGCTGGTTATATTTAACATTTAGATACATACTATATATTATAAAATATAAATATAAGTAAATATATACTTATGTAAATAAAAATGTATAAATAATTGTAATGGTTGTCGCAATAACTATTAAATAATAATAGTTATAACTAACCACAATAACTACATTTCTACTAGTTTAGAAAATATTTGGTTAAAATGAATAGATAAAACATGATCTATACCCATTAAATATTTTTAAAACTTTAATAATAAAATAAATGTATTGAATTATAAATAAATATTTATTGTTCATATCCATTGATAATCTAGGGTTTGGTAATTTGAAACTGACTAAAAAATTTAAGTTTAAAAGAACAAATTACAAATTGTAAACAAAAAATATTTTTAAAAAAAACCTGTTCAGAAAATGTAAATGTAAACAATAAATTAAAGCTTACTTATTTTTCAACTATATATACATCATTAAATAAAAATACAATTAATAAACATTCCTAAGCTCAATTTATTACTATTAAACTAATGGTCAAATAAAATATATGATATAGATTCGACCCAGCAGAAGTTGAAGAAAAAGAATTTGATAAAATGGATGTACCTATATCTGTAATAAAACAAATTGAAAACAGTGAATCAGACCTTATTAGTTATACAGAAGAAGGGTCTCAATTAGTGACTAACGTACTTCTAGCAAATGACAATCGTGAAAATAATCGTCGAGAAACTGACAAAAGTGAAAGAGATATTAGATTAAAATCAGTTGAATTGGAATCCGAAATAGCTAATGCTAAATTTATGGAAATTAGCTGTCAGTGGCCTATAATATTAAAAAAAAATGATGCATTGGAAATACACGAACATTTAGAACATCAAAAGAGTCAGTAAATTATTATTTATACCACCTACCATTACTTACTAAAATGTATACTTACTTAATTCCAATTAATGTGCTAATTTTAGAAAGAGGGTTAGATCTCATTTAACAAAAAAATCAAATGATTGAAATACTAAAACGTGATTTAGCTGAATCAGACAATAGATTTTTACAAGAACAGGCAGCTCAATGTGAAGATGTTCGAATTTTACAAGAAAGGATTGAAAATCAAGTGAAATTCATTAGAAAACAATACAAAAATCATATTCAATACATAAAGGTAAGAACTAAACACTTAAAATTTATAGGAATACAAGGTTTAAATTTAAGTTGAATTTTTCGTTAGTCAACTATGGACCAGCAGCGTGAATATAGAATTGATAATGCTAATAAAGGTTGGGAAACCCTTTACAATAAAACAATATTGATTGAAACCGATTCATTAAATAACCGTTTGGCAATGATCGAAAAGAAAGAAAATAATATAATGAAACAATATGAGATGAACGAAGAAATAATCAGAAATTTAAAATCCAACATGAATACAGAATTGAACGTAAGATTAACAAACTTTAACGTTTATAATTTCACTTTAAATTTTAATTAATTTAATTATATTTTATAGTACATACAAAGAGAATTTGAGTTAATTAAACTTAAATGTGAAGATAATGTGGAGAAACTAAATTATAATTATCAAGTGCTAAAAAGACGAGAAGAGGAAAATGCTTGTGCAAAAGCCACCCAAAGGAGAAAGATCAATAAGTGCATATTATATGGCAGATAATAGAACTAAAAAAAACAGTTTTGACATAGTGTTTAAAATTAGATTACAGGATATTTTATCAACAAAGAAGAAGATTTTAAGAGAAAATAAAACTGATTTCCAAGCCAAAGTTCCTTTATTACAGGATGAAATTGAAAAGTTGAAACAAGATATTGAGCGACAAGAAAAAAAGGCAGAACGATTTGCAGAAATCCAAGAGAAGACGTACAAAGAATTGTGGGATTTTTCTCAAAAACAAATCAATATTCATTTAGAAAGGGTAATCATTTTTATTGTTAAATAAATTAAAAGTTTAAAACACTTTTGTAACTTTTATTTTTATTATTAATAACCAATTCGTTTTATAAAGATTTTTGAGGTCGATAAATTCATACACGAAACACAATTAGGTATTAATTGGCAGCCTCCACCAAAACTCAAATATCTTGACATAAGCAATCTTCCATCTTACAGAACAAAACCAAATACACCTAGTCAAGAAGGTATATAATTCCTATGATTTATAAATATGACTACCAATATAGAGGGATATTTAAAGGGTTGGAGATAAAAGGGAGACGCTTGCCCATGTTTATTTATTTCATAATATTTAGAATTATGTGAAATTAATTTAATTTGTCAAATATTGATGTTTGAGGGAAAGGATGTAGACGTGTTGCAAAATAAAATTATCCCCTAANTTGATCATGTCATCTAACCATTTAACTGTAATTTTTTATTTTGTTAATTATACATTTTTATATTTTCAAGTTTTTATTTTGCCTGGCAAATGTATATTCTAATCTTATTTATAGTCAAACTTTTAATCCCAAAATAAATACAATCAAAATTATTTAAATACTTCCTATACAGTATACAGTATAATATATACTATGCTTATCAGCTTATTATTTTAATGCATATTCTTTCATTTAATATGTGATACATTTCTAAATATATAGATGATTAGCTCCTATATAGTGCACCATAAAATGCTGAAATACGTTCTACCACCTTTTGATCGAATTATTGATTTGAGGTTGATTTTCAAGTACCAAATCATAAGAGTTCCAAGAACTAAAATCAAACTGCAACCAACGTCTTCGATTAAGCCAATCCATGTATCTTCAAATTAATCAACAATTAGAGCCAAAAGATTTTAATTTCCAAAAAAATATATAGATTCGATCAGTTTTTCAAATGTGTTTATAACGTTTGTAGTTGGAATATAACTAAACCATTAACAACGAATTGATGAGAAAATTATGTATCTGCAATGCATGATTGTTATAATCACTAATCTACTATTTTGTATTTCCCGGTTAAACATAGCAAAAAATGGAAAAAGTTTTCTTTAATTTCGATTTATGGAAATTCTTCTTTCGATAGATATGCATTTTTCAAATCTTTCATAATACGTTTTGATGTTATCGATGAATTAAAGATTTTAATACTCTTATTATTTAAATATTTAGGTACATCTTTAGTACAATTATACGTAGGTAGATATAAACAAACAACCTAACCATTAATATATATACAAATGGATAATATTTACATCTTTTGTTTACAGGTTTATAACTATGAGCTAAATCATCTTAGGTTCAATTAGTTATTTAAGTGGTATGTCAATTTCAGCATAATTATTGTTTTAATTTATGAATCAACTATAAATTTAAAATTTAAATACCGCATCTCACCCTACACATATTCACATTAAGTATACGTATACTACCTGCAGTCGAATAGCATACGGTACGTCGGTACTCCACAATCTCTTCAAATTGTTCTTGATTAAATTTCTTAAAACAACCGTATTATCTACATTCTACACTCGCAAGGCCACGTGGGTTTAAAAAACCAAACAAATTACCAACAGTTAATCTGTGTTTGAAGTGTGTAAAGCATTTGTAATTTATACTTATTAATTATTATAGTTTATAACTTTACACAAATATTTACATTAGATGCTATTAATAATATTATTATTAAAATATTAATCTAAAATAAACAAAAAGTAGGTAATGCCTATGCTTTATGACTATAATTTAAAATGAAGTATAATATGTAATATGTTTGTTGTTCCCTTTTTATTTGTTCAATAACTACCCCCGGTATCCATAGTTACATAGTTAATTTGCTATATTCTTTATCTTATGTTATTTGGTTACACAATAAGGTTTTTTGTTTTAACATCGTGTTCAATACAATATGTGTTACAATATGTTATAGTTTAAGATGTTCTCATTAAAACACAGTTCTAAAATAAAGTCTATTAAAATAAAAGAAACACTAACTACATTTTTGAAAATGATTGCGATACGGGCATAACATTAAATTAAGAAAAAAACACGAAGGAAGATGAACGAGATAAGAAATACTGTAAAATATAAGTAAGGGTTTTATTTTGTTTCAATTTTAATTCGTAATTTTTAATTTATAAAAATGATTAAAACCATTAATGAAACTTTTAGAGGTGTTTTAAGGTAGTTAGGTAGTTAAGAAAGAACCAAAAATAGACTTTTAATCCTTAGTTATACGATTACCGTGATTGGTATTTGGTGGCCACCACATTAGTGTGTATAATAATATATTAATTAGTTAGTTTATTTTAAGTTTATATATACATATATACTCTTTAGTCATTAAAGTATTATATGGTGAAGTGCATACTTGAGCGCTTCAAACTCTTGAGAACTTAAAAAAAAAATTTACAGTTTTAAAATGACTTAAATAAAAATAAAAAGCTGAAAACAAATATTACAAACAAATATGTAGGTAATCATATTATGATGCGTGTAATTGTTTATTATGTTTAATTGTATTGCCTACATACTAGGTACCCACCTAGTACCTACTTAGATTCTGATTAATAAAAATAACTTTTAATTTTCATTAATAACAAACCCATTGAGTATACCTATCTAATGACTTTTCAATGGACAATATAACAAGTAGAATATATTATACTGAAGCAATATTTTACATTTCATTGAGCTGGTTATATTTAACATTTAGATACATACTATATATTATAAAATATAAATATAAGTAAATATATACTTATGTAAATAAAAATGTATAAATAATTGTAATGGTTGTCGCAATAACTATTAAATAATAATAGTTATAACTAACCACAATAACTACATTTCTACTAGTTTAGAAAATATTTGGTTAAAATGAATAGATAAAACATGATCTATACCCATTAAATATTTTTAAAACTTTAATAATAAAATAAATGTATTGAATTATAAATAAATATTTATTGTTCATATCCATTGATAATCTAGGGTTTGGTAATTTGAAACTGACTAAAAAATTTAAGTTTAAAAGAACAAATTACAAATTGTAAACAAAAAATATTTTTAAAAAAAACCTGTTCAGAAAATGTAAATGTAAACAATAAATTAAAGCTTACTTATTTTTCAACTATATATACATCATTAAATAAAAATACAATTAATAAACATTCCTAAGCTCAATTTATTACTATTAAACTAATGGTCAAATAAAATATATGATATAGATTCGACCCAGCAGAAGTTGAAGAAAAAGAATTTGATAAAATGGATGTACCTATATCTGTAATAAAACAAATTGAAAACAGTGAATCAGACCTTATTAGTTATACAGAAGAAGGGTCTCAATTAGTGACTAACGTACTTCTAGCAAATGACAATCGTGAAAATAATCGTCGAGAAACTGACAAAAGTGAAAGAGATATTAGATTAAAATCAGTTGAATTGGAATCCGAAATAGCTAATGCTAAATTTATGGAAATTAGCTGTCAGTGGCCTATAATATTAAAAAAAAATGATGCATTGGAAATACACGAACATTTAGAACATCAAAAGAGTCAGTAAATTATTATTTATACCACCTACCATTACTTACTAAAATGTATACTTACTTAATTCCAATTAATGTGCTAATTTTAGAAAGAGGGTTAGATCTCATTTAACAAAAAAATCAAATGATTGAAATACTAAAACGTGATTTAGCTGAATCAGACAATAGATTTTTACAAGAACAGGCAGCTCAATGTGAAGATGTTCGAATTTTACAAGAAAGGATTGAAAATCAAGTGAAATTCATTAGAAAACAATACAAAAATCATATTCAATACATAAAGGTAAGAACTAAACACTTAAAATTTATAGGAATACAAGGTTTAAATTTAAGTTGAATTTTTCGTTAGTCAACTATGGACCAGCAGCGTGAATATAGAATTGATAATGCTAATAAAGGTTGGGAAACCCTTTACAATAAAACAATATTGATTGAAACCGATTCATTAAATAACCGTTTGGCAATGATCGAAAAGAAAGAAAATAATATAATGAAACAATATGAGATGAACGAAGAAATAATCAGAAATTTAAAATCCAACATGAATACAGAATTGAACGTAAGATTAACAAACTTTAACGTTTATAATTTCACTTTAAATTTTAATTAATTTAATTATATTTTATAGTACATACAAAGAGAATTTGAGTTAATTAAACTTAAATGTGAAGATAATGTGGAGAAACTAAATTATAATTATCAAGTGCTAAAAAGACGAGAAGAGGAAAATGCTTGCGCAAAAGCCACCCAAAGGAGAAAGATCAATAAGTGCATATTATATGGCAGATAATAGAACTAAAAAAACAGTTTTGACATAGTGTTTAAAATTAGATTACAGGATATTTTATCAACAAAGAAGAAGATTTTAAGAGAAAATAAAACTGATTTCCAAGCCAAAGTTCCTTTATTACAGGATGAAATTGAAAAGTTGAAACAAGATATTGAGCGACAAGAAAAAAAGGCAGAACGATTTGCAGAAATCCAAGAGAAGACGTACAAAGAATTGTGGGATTTTTCTCAAAAACAAATCAATATTCATTTAGAAAGGGTAATCATTTTTATTGTTAAATAAATTAAAAGTTTAAAACACTTTTGTAACTTTTATTTTTATTATTAATAACCAATTCGTTTTATAAAGATTTTTGAGGTCGATAAATTCATACACGAAACACAATTAGGTATTAATTGGCAGCCTCCACCAAAACTCAAATATCTTGACATAAGCAATCTTCCATCTTACAGAACAAAACCAAATACACCTAGTCAAGAAGGTATATAATTCCTATGATTTATAAATATGACTACCAATATAGAGGGATATTTAAAGGGTTGGAGATAAAAGGGAGACGCTTGCCCATGTTTATTTATTTCATAATATTTAGAATTATGTGAAATTAATTTAATTTGTCAAATATTGATGTTTGAGGGAAAGGATGTAGACGTGTTGCAAAATAAAATTATCCCCTAATGGGTGGAAAAATTCCAGATACGTCTCTGACTATATATCATTAACACCTTTTGAATTGTCTTTTGTTTTTAGATAATTTTACTGTAAGCTTGCGAGTTCAGAATGATAAAAAATCAGTTGACTCGTACACGGAGGCCAGAGAACGGGCGCTGTTGCAATTAATTTTTGACATGACTATAAAAAATTGTTCTTTTATATTAGACGACGAACTAATTGAAATTATTAAATCCCATCCAAAAAACAATCTTA